AAACTTACAAAAATGCTGCCTAAATTTCGCTAAAATATCCTCATTTGAACTGAGAAAGCCAATTCCTTCCACGGATCCGAGATTAAGCACTTCTCCAAATGCATCAATAAACATTAATGCGCTGTTGCATCCAAGTTCTTCTAAAAACATAATCTAAATTTAAAAAAAATGATCAGAAATGACAAAATAGACTACTACTATACTAGTAACAGTAATCACACATATAGTGCGGCCGACATGTAAACTTAGGCTATTACGTAACAGAGGAACAGATAAAACGGGCTGCAACTTCGAATACTCTCGGGTGGATTGCACAGGTCCCCCAACAAATAAGCACGAAATGAGAGTTGCGGTCTATTTGTCGAGCGCAACAAAAGTGAAGTCTAATTATTCAACTATATTTTAATTTCCACCAAGCAAATGTCCATTTTCTTACATAAATACCGCATACTAACTAAGTTCGACGGCCGCACTGTAAGTTACGGACCAAGTTTAGCGCGCGGGTCATAACGAGGTGCTCTACCTTCCCATCACACCGTGCGCGACACTGTAGAGGTTCAAGAAAGACGACTGGGGATGAGTCAGTGTGAAAAGATTGTTGATTCTCATTGCCATGATATATCATCAGTTTGAAAACCAATAGAAAAAACTTAAACTTAAATCTTTTATTTTTTTTTCAAACCTCTGCCAATAACTGCCTCCTATGTCTATCGATGAGTTTTTTCTTTTCCTCTTGGGAAAACTCGGCGACATCAGGAAACTTGTAGGCTTTCGATATATCCTCAAATTTTTTTTTCTCTTCCTTTGAAAGGGCTTCCCATCGCGTGGAGGCCAGACGATTTTTCTCCGACATGCTTAGACCTTTACAATCCCCTGAAAAGAGGGTAAAGAGGATAGTACATCGAAACGATGATGAACATAACGAATAGCTATAATAATTACTGGCACCAGCTATAATAATTATTATGCAAGCTGTAAGAGATTTCGAGTTATTATTACTTTAGTTCACCTTTTCGAAAAAATTCAGCACAAAAAAGGTTGTATGGATTTGGGCCCCTCTGCAAGGGCGGCAGTTTGATCTTCTTCGCTGGTTGCTGGTCAGTAGAATCAGTGTGCTGTCTCTGACATCTGCGCTTGTTCCTTTCATTGCCAATCCATTTCTGCAAGTATAACATTTGTCCTTTACAAAAAAGTTTCAACCGAGATAAAATTATTGGCAGAAGAGCAAGAAAATGCTAATTAAAAAAGGCTTTGTATGCCATTAACGTGTATTCTGAGAGCTATTGATTTTATTATATGTCTCAGATAGTACACACGCTGTGATTGGTCAATTTTGTGGGCCGTACTGACCCGCTAAACTTGTCCGATACAGTGCAAAGTCTCCAGAGATATAACAAATATCTTACTAACCTCGTTTTTCTCGGTCCGTATTGCAAGTTACGGATCCTCGTTTCCCCCTCCATTTATGGCCCAAGCGCGAGTAACTTACAGTATGGACCTCAAACTCGGTTAGTAAAAGGTATAGCGTCATAGAGCATAGAAATGCTTCTCAACAAGAAAGTTCCGACAAATAAAAAAAAATCCCCGAATCGTTTAGCTTCTTTATTTCACCCTTTTGCAGTATTTTTTTCTTCACATGAAAGATCAAAGCCAGAGCTTTGTTTTAAACAAAAAATTCAGAACTGAATGAGCAAGGGTGAGACTAGTCTGTGGAGCTGCAGACCGCGGAACCAGCGGAACTTACGGAACCTACAGAAAAGACTACTTTTTCTGCAGTAATTCGACTCAACTTCGGCCGATTTGAATAATCAGTAGAAGCAGACCCTTTTGGGTGCTTTTAGACTCGAAAGAACGCCGTAGACAGGCAACCAGTCACAGGCCGTTTCATCTATCCCATTAACGTATATACGGACCAATCTGCGATTGAGGCATACAAAATACGGAATGACGCCACAACGAGATGCAAATCCCAGGAGCGTCCTGTTCCTTCCTGAGCGGAAGTGGTGGCAAAATGGTGTCTAGACTTCACCGAGAGTTAGAACAGTCGCACACATTATTTCCTGTATAAACAATAAGCTAATAACAGAAAAAAAATTAAGGCCTATTTAAATGGCATATCTCACTAAATAAAATTCAAAAGGAGCAATCATAGGAGATGCATCAATGCCAAACTGGAATTGAGTGAGAAAATTGTCCCCATCCCTTCCCGAGAATTGAAAAGTGGTTGGAGATCATCCAGCCCTGTCGTTGGGAACGATTTTTGCACTTCCAATCTTGTATCCAGAGTCGACGGTGCTCTTTGGTCAGTGGATGTTTGGGCGACGGGTGGGGTTATCGCTTGGTCCAATCAGGAGCCCATAACCTAAATTAGTAGTTTCATTTTTACCACTTAAAGCATTGTTTATATCCAAAAGCTCTGTGTGACAGTTCTAACTTTTGGAGAGGTCAGGGAACGATTTTTCACTCACTTTTGGTCTTTGGAGGGTCTTGGGACGCTTTTTTGATCAACTAACGGTTGATTGTGACACTTGCGTGACACATCCGGTTTCTCGGCGTGATCCCTAGCTTGATGTGTGAAGTCGGTCTATATCATGTGTGTAACAATCGCTCATCATTGGTCTACTTGAACATGAACGAGTGTAACGAGTTCGACATCATGCATGTATCAATGTAAATCACGCGGGGGGTTGTGGGGTTGGGTAAGGGGCTTTGATTTGACAACTCTTAAAATTTTTGGAATTAAATTTCCCAGTGCGGGAAACTAATGTCAATCAAAAGTGTCAAATAAGCCCCACCATGGGGCAACAATTCTAAAGAGACAATAATGTAATACTATATAAAACAAACACAAAAATACCATTTGAAAAGTATGTTCTTGCTACTAAGTTAAACTGAAAATACGACTGCTCATTGTTGTTTGTGCAGTTACAAAAAAGTCGATAAAATTTGAATCACTTTACATTCAGTGTGCTGTTTGTAACTACCATCGAGAACACAACTTTAAATGAAGAAGACTTTTCTCAGTTTAAAAGAGACAGTTTGCTTGGGCTGACCAGAACTTTAAAGATAAATCAGTATCAGTCAAACTCAAATGTCCCGACCACTGGGTCGCTTCGCACGATCAAAAGCCAGACAGGGGGGATAGTCTCACGCATCAAATGCCCGCCTCTTGCCCGCACTCCACCCCACTCCCCGCCCCCCAACATGCAGGATTTGCATTAAAATGTACATTAAGAGGATGTTTAGCTTTTCTGTAGGGTTGTCGGAACAACAACAAGGAGCTTTAATTCTGATGAACGTAGTAGTTCTCACACGACTGTAAAACTCTAAACTTGTACTTTAACACGGCCCTGCCCAGCTGCCAAGTGAACTATTAACTTTTCAGTACTGAAGTCAACACACAGGACCTCTGTCATGCTTGAATGAACACTAACTCACTTCTTCAGCCTGTGAACAACTAGTCATTCCAAACCTCTAGCTCGGAGGCTAATGTACTTCTTACATGAAATTCTAGAACCTTCTAAATAGCTTGATATTAGTAGCATTACAACATTCTTCTATTTACAAAGACTGACAAAAACTGCTAAATCACTCAAAGGAAATATAAACACAAACACTAATTAAATATTCAGGAATCTTCCAGACGTACATGCAAGTTCTAGTCGGTCACGCAATGCATGAAAGCAATTTTCAATGCATAACAACCAGATGGAGGCATCGGCCTATCTACGGTGCTCTTTCGAGTCCAAAAGCACCTAAAAGGGTCTGCTTCTACTGATTATTCAAATCGACTGAAGTTGAGGCGAGTTAGTGCAAAAGACGCAGTCATTTCTCTAGTTTCCGCTTGTTTCTGCAGTTCCACAGTTTAGTCTCACCCCAAAGCTTAATGCAGTCATAAAAAAGCATACCACGCGATCCTCAAAGTATGGTGAGAATACCATGTCCATTCTTAGAAGAACCTTAGTAGAAGTATGGGCGACAACAAAATTGGTGGACGGGTGGGCCGCGAGGAGAGAGTGATGTCTGTCACTCACGATCAAGCAAAACAACTGAAAGTGCCTATAAAACAATGAGCCTGGATGACATGTTGTACCATGGAGTTTTTACCAACATAAAACACTAAAAAAGACCACAGCAGAGCACAATTGTATGTCGAGAAAGCTGCCATACGAATAAACAGCAAAAAGTGAAATGTCTGTAATTCCCGTCGATAGTTTAAAGGGGCCTCCGAGAAACAGAAATTTCGATTGCCTTATCATGAAAGAGATGACAAACCTACCCCAACTTGATTCTTCGAAAGATCGGCTTCTTCAGCTGCTCGGGCTATCTGTTCTTGGTGCTGCTGGCCAGTACCGATCATTCCATTTTCAAAATATCGCTTAAGTATATTTCTTTGAACGTCCGTTAAGAGGGTATATCTTTGTGCACGCGGTTTTACGACTTTGCTTGCCATGATAACGTCGGTCCACAGTGCAACACTTCATTCCGCCATGATGATTTTCTTTCGCCTCATTCTAATCTAAACGATGATTGGTCAGAATCAGGATAATAGGAGCCTTTGTCATGTTAGCTGGCACGGATGATCATCTTACCTGGCTATCACCCGTAATTCTAAATTTAGAAAATATGGGTTTGACCCATTTAGAATCCGAGATACGGGTGCACAGGAGCAACCATCTCCATAAAGCTTTCCAGCTCCAGCTCTCTCTCCACGTGCAACTTCCAGCTTCTCTTTATCATGTGATATGTTGCAATTTATCGCGTGATAAACTGACTAATTATTGCGCGATAATCGGTATCTGAATAATTATCGCGCGATATTTAATCAAAAATATTCAAACTTATCGCGCGATTTTATTTTTTAGTTTATCGCGCGATATCTGAAGAATTATCGCCCTATCTTTAATCAAAAAAACCGTGGAATGTCCTCTATGGATCACCGTATAACAATACTTTCGACTTTTAAAATATTGCAGATCTGATTGTAAATGTATTTTCTTTTTATCACCCTAGGACAGGAAGCAGGTCCTTACTCATATGGAAAGAGCTGAGAAGGCAAAAGTAAGTTCAGTGAGATATGTATCGTAGTGTGCGCTTGTTGTGCATTTCACTTGATGAAAAGTTGGACATTGCCAAATTGGTAACTGAGTTTGATTAATATACAAGTCGTTACCACTTTGGCATTTTTAACAGACAGGAATTTATTTTGAGTTGCAGCGTCGCGAACCCTTAACAGTAGGGCGCCCTGGGGGACGTTTGCTCAGGTCTGAGTTAATATCTCCTGTATTCATACAGATACAAATAATATAGTTTGCCGAATGACAGACATTTACCAGTGAATCCCGGTTACGGTTGTCACGACATACGCCACTTCCACATTTCCCATAATGCACCTTATTTGCCCCCAAAATTTTGCATAAGCATTGTTTTCAATTTCCCTTGAGACGGTTGTAATACCCAGGAGAAATGAAAAACAAAGGTTATGCAACATTTTGGAGGCAAATAAGAGGCATTATGGGAAATGTTGAGATTACGTATAACAAATAACCCAGAGGAAGGTTTGTAGACTGATGGAATTGGCTTTTATCAACTGGCGTGATTCAAAGTGATCCTTTCTTAATTACTTTCTCGTTACTCGAAATCTTTTTAATCAGGCGTCAAGAGCCCCTCTACACAAGGCTGCAATCAGTGGACAGTACGAGATGGTCAAAATGCTTCTTGAAAGTGGTGAAGATGTGGATCAAAGAGATCAGGTCTTAGTCTTCCCCAGTCTATATAAATCTAATGCTTACGGATTCTTAGATTCTTTTCTTGCTTTAGAAGACTACGAGCAGGAGCCTTGCGTTCATGAACCAACACACCATTCAAATTGGCTGGTGGTGACAAGCGTGATTGACAGACAGCAAATTGTTTTTGCTGAAAATATCCACTGTATAAGTCGTAACTGTTCATCAGTAGAATGCCTAAGCTACATGTATGTTCACACTATGTATGTTTACACTGTGTTCACACTGTGGCACCACGAAAAGCTATCCGGTATAGTATAAACAACAACGGTCCGGGGCGGCACAAGTCGTTTACACACATTGAACATCGTGCCTGCGTGGTTGGCCGAGATAGTTTGGTGCACTAAATTATTTTCCTCATTCTTTAAAATTTATTTCCGTCTTACTAAATAATTTTCGTGACGTTCCGAATAGGTGTTCACATTGCACCAAAGTATGACACAAAACCTATCCGGTATGTGATGCTCCACTTTAGAGATCGGCGCGGCACAATTTTATTTCGCTTCGTCACAGAAATTTCGCCGCCACAGTCGTTCTTATGTGTGAACAGAAGACCTATCCGGTATGATTTTCTTGGCGGCGCAAAAGCTATCCGGCTACAGGAGAAATCACAAAATTCTGTTTTCGCATCATTTTCTAGAATTTTGAATGGCTTTATCATTTAAAATTCACTAGTTACGGATAGCTTCAGCATAGACTCGGGTTAGCTTTCATTTTTTGTGTCTTAAATAGGCAATTAAGCCATAGTAAACCGTTTGCCTCTCCAATCCGTTTTTTAAGGCCTGTTAAACTGACCAGGGAAGAGCTTAATATTAAGGTTCTTGATGTTGTAAGTGGTTTAAACCAACGAATCCTGTCATTAGTAGGCCGGGAGAGTGTAGCCCTGAAAAGAGCTGTTGACCACACTGACCCTTTCACAACCCGTGCTGAAGTCATCATCAGGGTCAAGAAAAACTCTTTTGATGACTCTTGCACAGGAAGGTGACTCTGATGATCACTTCTGCATGGGTGGTCAAAAACGTTACTATTCAGTACTGCACTCATCCGGACGATCATATTCAAACTTCTTTAATATATTTTAAGTCTGTATTTTCGAAAAGTTATGGAGACCTAATTTATTTTGAATTTGGAAGGAATTTCCGCCTTGAAATTTTAATGGGTTGAGGCGAAGCAGAAACTGAATATAACTTTATTATTTTATTTGTCTGGTTTGTGTTTGTTTATATGTTTTTACCACAGGAGCCTGTAAATGTTCAGTTTTATCTGCATTTTCCTAATAAAGAATCAGTGGTTTGAATGAAAACATACAGCTTTGTTCTACCAATTTCTAATGCAAAAAAGTAGTATAGGGCGCTCACCAAATTATCTTTTTTTGCGATGCATTCTCATTAGCGTGCGGTGGAACATATTAATGTCGATGACGTCATAGCCTTTTGTCTTTATCTCATGAATAAAATGCGGTGGATTATCATTATCGTCCCTTTTGTGTATTTCTGATACAATAGAAACAATAGGCTTGTGGTGGTGATGGAGGGAAAACAATAGAATTGTGGTGGTGGTGGTGGCGGTGGATATGGAGGGAAAACAATAGAATTGTGGGGTGGTCGTGGTGGTCGTGGAGGGACAACAGAAATGTGGTGGCGGCGTTGGAGGACGAGAAACAATAGAAATGTAGAGAAACCAAATAGCCCACTTTCGAGTTCGCTTTGACCGCTGAATTAAGGAAGTGAAGACGCATTTTTTACAGCCTTAGCCTCAATCTGAAGTAATATATTTACAAATTCCAACGAAAAAATGACCTGTTTATTACTCGGTCTATTGTGTATATTCAAATTTCAAACACTTACTTGCGAGAATTTCTGAATATTTTACTTTACGTCGAGGCTAACCCTGTATGAATGTGTCGTTAATATTTGTATTCAGCGGTGATTTTTAATTCGAAACTGGACTATTGTGATGAGGGGAAAATTGGTGGAAAGAGCTATTTTGCTTCCATTCTTTTCGTGCCAAGAATCAGTGAACCGGAACCAGGAAAATAAATTGTCTGCAATGAACAATGACAGCGGCAGGAAATAAAAGTGTATAATTAATTAACGTTTGGGCTCAGTGATTTTAGATCAAAGGCGAGTTAGCGTTTATTCGTTCAACAATATGAATCAACCAATGAATACTTTTTTTAGTTTTAAGTCGGCCAATCAAAAACCAAGTCATTTATCGACCTGAAAATTACTAGAAAATTTGTCAAACCGGATAATTAGAACTAGAAGATGACAAACAGGTTAATCTGGTCAAGGCTATGCGAGACAATTTTTTCTATTTTATTAGGGCCAATTCAAACGTCAATTTTTTCATGTACCGATTTTAATACTTCTTTAGATCGACCAAAATGATGAAAGTTCGGCGGTTGATTCAGACGTCGAACTTAATTAGTCGGACTCAATTCATTTTCACGTTGTTCAATGGTCTACATGTACTTAAATGAAGGGATTAGGTTCGGTACATGAAAAATTTGATGTTTGAACTGGGCTTTAGAAATATACAAAAGGGAAGATAATGTGAATCCACCGAATTTTGTTCATCAGATAAAGACAAAAGGCTATGACGGCATCGGCGTTAATGTATTCCACCACATGCGGGGTTATTAAGATTCCATCGCAAAAAAGTATAATTCGATTGTGCGCCCTGTACTACTGGAAAGTGGCCTGCAAAGTGTGGCATTTGGGCTTAAGTTTAGTTTTATTCTTTGTTGGCTCCTTGTAAACTGAAGAAGATAAAGCAGAGAAGACGCTATGGCTTTGGTCTAAACTAGGCCTTTAGAAATTAGTCCAATAGCAGACTCGTAAGTTTATTTCATAAAAAGCCGTCATTAGTAATGTATGGCACTGGATCGCTTTTTTTCAATCTTATCTGACCGCGTTATTTCTTCCTGTTTTCTATAGTTTTCTTTGACTCCTCTTCATCTTGCCTGTTGGTATGGACAGGATTCTGTTGTCAAAATGTTGTTGAAATACGGAGCGAATGTCAACGCTAAAGACAGGGTGAGTCAGTTAATGTTTTTTTTCAATGAACATTGTAATGGGGGGTGGGGGCAAGGGAACTTCTTGTTTTTCGAGTATTATTTACCCACATATGAATCTCTCTAGGATGACCAATTAAATTGACCTCAGCAACCGTGTTGATGTATTCACCTTTTTGACTTTTGAGTGTTGAGTGTTATAAGGCACACCGAATGGGCCTTTTTTGTGCGGTGGAATCTTATTAACGTGTGGTGAAATGCTATACCATCGATTACGTCACAGCCTTTTAAGTGGTTTAACCGGTTTGTTAGGTTTTCTAGTTATTTTAATTTCGGAGTGATGATGTCGAAGTTTATTTTAAGTTTTTTTTACGTCATGTCCTTATTTGGATGCTTTAAACAAACTGTCCATTTCATCCGCTTTATGCAGGTTTCACTGTTTTAAGCGGGCGTGCTGCATGAAGCGGGCGAATGGCAGAGCTTACTAACAATTATTCCTCGGCCTCATAGGCTATTGACTCAGAGGCCATGAGGGCGAGAGGAATAATTGTTTTAGTAAAATCCAACTAGTTTATCAAAAATATCGAGACAAAACAACTTTAGCTGGTTAAAGCTAGTTTAATCCTTTTTTGCCGCCAAAAATCCGGCGCTTTTCGCTACTAGTGGGCCATAACATATAGCCTGGTAGTAGCTCAACCAATCAGAACGCAGCATTGATAATAGACCACTAGTTGGATTTTACTAATTTCAAATATTTCTTCCTATAATTTCGGTAAATGAAAGTCCCGTAAGAGTCCGCTTAATGCAGGTTTCCTTGTTGTTTGGATAGTTAACTGTATATTGTACTACCTTGTGTAGACATACCGGTAGCTAGAAAATTCTTCTTGTTGGCAAATGCCACGTCCGAAGTTACACGATTTACTCTGCTTGTGACGTTTTTAGTTTCAAAGAACACCTCTGCAAAAAGCGGAACGTCAAAGCCACCATTCCATAGTGCAGTTGCTACTGAAGAATGATGCCAGGCCAAGTCTTTACCAACCAGTAAGATATCATAGTATATGTGCTTCATGCCAAGCGTTGCCTTTCAGATTAACTTCGCTTACATTTGTTGTATTCTATGTCGATAATGTTGAACGTTAAAGTAGGACCTATACAATGTCGTATGAGCTTTTATCCAAGCTTACATCTTGGAGATCTTATATTTGTTCTTCTCTACACGAACATTATTTTTAACCATTTTAATGGTTAAAAATAATTATTAAAATAGCCGACATCAGCAAAAGTCGAGTGTCTTTCCGTTTTGCATTAATAAAGGTTTTATGGTAGATTTTATTTCTTGGTTAGTGAATGTCTATGGTTCTGGCGTTGCGTCTTATACACATGCGCTATCTGAATGGTTTTTGGACACACTTCACCGGCGAAAAATGTCTGATTGGTCGACGCGCGACCACGTGACATTGCCAAATTCAAAATGGCGGCAATACCTCCATAGTTTGTATATTCCAGTGGAAAGAAGGTTAATTGCGGCTTAATATGAGTTGCAAATGCATATCGGATATTTTTAGAATAGCCTAGACTTTTTACTATCCTTTTTCACCTATTTCTGTGGGATTCGTTTCCTGCGATGCTCGCGATTTCGTCCGTTTACAGTATTCAACTTTGGTTCACGAACGACTACAATGTTTCTAAAAAAAGCAGGGTCACTAGAACGAACGGCCTTTGTTCACAGCTCAATGCAGATAAATAAGACACTATGGGTCCTTTGAAATTGCTTAGACACCTGGTAGTTATTTTATTGTTATTGTTATTTTTTTTACCGAAAGGGTAAACTAAAGCAAAAATGTTTGTTCTCCAGCAACACTTTCCAATTTATAAGAAAAAGCTTGAACATGAGCTAAATGAACTTTAGTGTCTGCATTCAGTCTTTTCTTTGAGAACGGGTGCAATTTTAATATCAAAACTTTAAAGCCGTCTTTGACCGAGCAAGGTTTTCTTCTTTTTTCTTTTCAATGGTTACCGTGCTTGATATGAATAAGATAATGGGATTTATAAATTAGCGGAATACTATATTTAAAAGAAGAGAACTTTGTATCAAGTGTTGGGAAGATCGCTTCGCTTCCCGAAGATATTCATTAAAAAACTGATTATACTGATTATACTTTTTTAGTATGTAAAGGTTAAAAAAGTAATGCATATGTTCTAAAGTGCTACAAAGGAGTAAAAACCCAGATCTTTCCATTAGTAACTTTTATTGACACTGTCAGGGACATATGCTTTCCTTGAGCACACATTTGTTCGTTAAAAAATCTTGTTTGTGAGGCTGCACTTTGTTTGATTCAGGATCAATCAATCTTTTCTGAAGAGAAATGAAAAGTAAAGCATGTTAACATGTCAGATACTTCAGCACTGCCTTAGCCAACAACTAAGAAGAAGCTGAACTTCATATCAAAAAACAAAGTGAAAACTACTTCACTGTGAAACAACAATCTCTTCAAATATATATCACATTAAATTCATGCAAAATGTAGACCTGATGAGAAGTTTATAGGAATAGAAACAAACGATAATTACAATGAAACTATAATGTTTGAATGAGATCTGTGAGTGTTCTCTCATAATTCTAACAGAAGATCAAAATCATGGAAACTGCACATCCTACACAACATGATCCAACTAAAATTTCATTAAGACTCACTCAAAGTTTACTCCAAACTTTAAACTCCTGATTATTTTTTTTTCTTGGAAAGAACTTTTGAATACTTAGTAGCATTTTAACTCTGTCATTCATTCACAACTTTGCTCCAAAAAAAATTAAGCCAAAAACAATGGACAGAAAAACAAAAGCATTCACAGGAAAATTACCCTGTTCATCTCCTTCCAGGATCCAATTTTCAAGCAAAGAAGCACCCCCCACAGAAAGCCTTGTGTGCCAAAAAATTGTACACGGGGGAAATCATGTCCGTAAGTGCAGTTTCTAACGTGGAAAGTAACAAGGACCTCGTTGTGGATAATCCCAAGCCAAATTTATGAGCAAAATAATCTAAACTTCCATCCTTCAATTATACCATTGCAAGCCTAAACGTACAGCAGCTGTAGACATTGTAAACAGAATATTTTTTACAAATCAAATGTTGCTGGACCTATCGAACTGTAGCTCCAAGACGGTATTAGCGTTTTAATGAAAACACCCTCACATTTTCTCATTCTACAGTTCGGTTAAAACTCAAATTTCTGTAACATACAAAGCTGTACTAATGTACAACAACAATGAAATGTGGATAGATGGACAAAATCACGTTTCGAACTACGCACTTTAGCTTTCGATCCACTTTTTTTGAGCTACAAGGCAATTTACACACCAATACAATGGCTAAGAGTAATTCTTTACCTTCGTTATAATTTCCCTTTGTACCGAGTGACACGAGATTAGGTTGAACCAAGCGTAAGCATATTTTTCTTCCATAAACAGTGTAAACATGCGGAGATTAAGCATCTAAATATAGTTTTTCCAGCAACAAAGTACACGCTAAGTCATATTAACAAACCAAAGCACAAAAAAATCTGTCCCTCTACTTTTTTTTTGGTTGAATCCGTGATAAGAAACTTGAACTAACAACAAAAACATTTTGGGTAGCATTTTAATACGCTCTTCGATCAACAGCCGAATGTTATCGAATGTGAGATTCACAATGAAAGTCGAATTTTGACACAAAAACGGGATACAGATTTAACAAAACTGTCGCTTCCGTGCAACTCGGTACAAGCTAATTTATATACCAAAACAAAGCCCAATAATTTTTCTTCCACTACTTTATAAATTCTTTTTTTACCGAGTTGCACGGAACATGCAGTGAACAAAATGAGCAAAAATTACCCACCTTTTCGGCATGTCTTCCACATGCAAACCAGCGATCTCAACGTCAATAACACTGAATCAGACCATGCCAATGCGATTTTTCTCCAGTTTCAGGACGCTGTATTCTCTAGAGAACACTTTTACGTCAAAACTTTGACCAAAATAATTTTTGATCTCTTACAGTGGCAAGAAATTTGCAACGCTGTCACTGCCAAAAAAGGCTGTCATCGCTACTTTCATCCGAACAACATTTCGCGGGCATTTTCGCCTCGGAGCCAATGACATTACCCGAAATGGATCACGTGTCATTTTTTGCAGAGCATGCGTAGACATTTTTCGCCGGTGAATTGGACACACTGGAGCTGGGGTTTTAACATGCTGAAATCACATGAAGGGAAGAAAACTACATTACTGTTTGTGAAGTCCATGATAACTTTAACTATATTGGACTTAGAAGCAAATCCGTACCCCACCGGTGTTTGAAGGTTAAGACAGTTAAACCTCCTCCCCCCTTGCCTCCTCCAGTGGGGTCTTTCGTGTTGCATGATTAGCCAAAAGTTAAAAATGTATCATACCACCTGGGATGAGCTTTCAAAGTAATCTAGATATTATGGGATGTGGCTAGTGCTGTGGAGACCCAGTGATTTCATTCAAGATAGTTCCACACTAATAGCCGCCATCAAAATTCTATTCCCCAAATGAAACAGAAAATTAGCTGAGACGTTTTTCATACACGACATTTTTTTTTGAAATTCACTGTCTAACCTAGTTGCCTGCAAGAGCCAACAAAAACGTCAACATTTGTCAGGAGGGTGGGGGTGTCATCCACAAAGTCTTGTTTTCAAAACCTTTCCCCCATCTGAACAGCTTCAAATTCTCACATCAATTTTGTCGTCCGTTGGAGCCATTTTCATATTTTTGGTCATAAATGATTATCATTACTGTCAAACTTAGAAAAGCATGAACGTTGAAAATGTTCATTGTCTTATGATCAGTCCCATCGGAGATAAGAAAAACGGGAGTTAGCGAGCAGCAAACCACAAAACAATTACCGTTTCTGCTTGCAGCTTACTTCTCGCACACTTCTTTGGCTTCTTCCCTTGACACATAACATTGGCGAAATATTTTTGGTGTTGATAGAATAAAGTTTGTGTAACGCGCACGTCTCTTCATTTGATCATAGTAAGAATTATTAACAAAATGGTACGAAAATCTCTTATGTCTATTTTTAAGTGGCCTGCCCTTATGTTACTAATGACGCCATATATTTTAACCATGACAGCCAACCACCATTACATGTTGTGTTAAATGTGTCCATTTGCAATAACAATACAGTGAAACCCTGTTAATCTATTATCTGTAAAAGTAAGTGGCAAATGAATTTTCTCTTCATTGTTTTTGCTCAAACACATGGTCATTTTCATCATAGGTCTGTCTAAAGAAACTCTCAAGAAAAGCTTTATTGCAAGTGGATGAACAATCTGGATTTAATCTGCTCCAGGCGGCTGTCTTTGAAGGAAAATACAACCTTGTTTTAGAAGCTAGTGGCCTTTTTGACAACTTTGTAGAAGAGATGGAACTTACAGAAACGGGAAATAACGCAAAAGAATTTATAGGAAAAACGGCAGTTGACTTCTTGTCACTTAGAAAGAGAAGAAACCCATTTCATGTTGATATCGAAAGGATTTATAAAAAGTTGGCTGAGGACAACAGCAGACTGACTGAGAAGCAGTGGGGTACATGCGATAATGATGTGGAACAGATAGTTGAACATGTATTAAATGACGGTGTAGATATTAATGCCTCAGGATCAGTCAACGATTGGACAGCTTTGCTTCAGGCGAGTCGTTCATCCTCAAGTACGTTTATTGAGACCCTCATTGATCTTGGGGCCGACGTTAATGCCCAAAGGAGAGAAAGCAAAGAAACACCACTATTGTTAGCAGCTGACTGGAACAACTACATGGCAGCAAGCTTAATTGTAAGGCATGGGGCTGATGTAAATCATGTCCATATTAGTAATGGGTTTACGCCACTGCACGTTTCAGTCAATAAAGGTCACGAAAACCTCACCAGATTGTTACTTAAACACAACGCGGATGTAAATATTCAGGATAATCTTGGATATAAGCCCTTGCACTGGTGTGCCAGAAAGGGTAACGAAAATCTCTGTACATTGTTACTTGAACACAACGCCGATGTAAATTTTCAAGGTAAAGATGGATATACCCCCTTGCACTGGTGTGCCTTAGCGGGGAACGAAAAACTCTTTAGATTGTTGCTTGAACACAACGCCGATGTAAATATTCAAGATAAAGGTGGATATGCACCCTTGCACTGGTGTGCCTTAGCGAGGAACGAAAACCTCTGTAGATTGTTGCTTGAACACAACGCCGATGTAAATGTTCAAGGTAAAGATGAATATACACCCTTGCACTGGTGTGCCAGAAAGGGTAACGAAAACCTCTGTAGATTGTTACTTGAACGCAACGCGGGTGTAAATATTCAAGATAAAGATGGATATACACCCTTGCACTGGTGTGCCTTAGCGGGTAACGAAAACCTCTGTAGATTGTTGCTTGAACACAACGCCGATCTAAATAATCAAGATAAAGGTGGATATACACCCTTGCACTGGTGTACCTTAGCGGGGAACGAAAACCTCTGTAGATTGTTGCTTGAACACAGCGCCGATGTAAATGTTCAAGGTAAAGATGAATATACACCCTTGCACTGGTGTGCCAGAAAGGGTAACGAAAACCTCTGTAGATTGTTACTTGAACACAACGCAGATGTAAATATTCAGGATGAAGATGGATATACACCCTTGCACTTGTGTGCCAGCGAGGGTAACGAAAACCTCTGTAGATTGTTACTTGAACACAACGCACGTGTAAATATTCAGGATGAAGATGGATATACACCCTTTCACTGGTGTGTCGAAAAGGATAACGAAAACCTCTGTAGATTGTTACTTGAACACAACGCGGATGTAAATACTCAAGGTAATCGTGGATATACACCCTTCAACTGGAGTACTAGAGAGGGTAACGAAAACCTCTGTAGATTGTTGCTTGAACACAACGCGAATGTAAATACTCAAGATGAAGATGGATATATACCCTTGCACTGGAGTACTAGAAAGGGTAACGAAAACCTTTGTGGATTGTTACTTGAACATAACGCCGACGTAAATGCTCAAGATCACCGTGGCTATACACCCGTGCACTGGAGTATCAGAAAGGGTAAAGAAAACCTCTGTAGATTGTTACTTGAACACAGCGCGGATGTAAATACTCAAGATGAAGATGGATATACACCCTTGCACTGGTGTGCCTTAACGGGGAACAAAAACCTCTGTAGATTGTTACTTGAACACAACGCGGATGTAAATACTCAAGATGAAGATGGATATGCACCCTTGCACTGGAGTACTAAAAAGGGTAACGAAGACCTCTGTAGATTGTTACTTGAACACAACGCGGATGTAAATATTCAAGATAATCATGGATATACACTCTTGCACTGGTGTGCCTTAATGGGGAACGAAATCCTCTGTAGATTATTCGTTGAACACAACGCGGATGTAAATATTCAAGATAAATGGGGATATACACCCTTGGACTGGAGTATTGGAAAGGGTCACGAAGAGCTCTGTAGATTGTTACTGGAACACAGCGCGGATGTAAATATTCAAGATAAGGGTGCACCTTTTAGCTTTTAACGGCAATTTCAGTAAGATAATCGATCTCCTGGTGAAGTGTGAAGTGCAAGATATCAACATCTGTGATGCACAAGGCAGGACCTCTCTTCAAATGCCAGTGAGATGTGGTAATGCATCAGCTGAAAAAAGCTTGTTTATCTAGGAGGTGATGTTAGTGTGGTAAAAGCAGATAGTGACGATGCCATTGGACTGGAACGTTAAAAATGAACCGGAGAGGATGGAGGAATATCTTATGTTTAAAAAGGGCTATGCGCAAGAAGCCTTTGTTCCGGGTGCCGAACATCTCAATGAAAAGAAAATACTGAGGGAAACCCTTCGTATACAACAAAGGAAAGAGAGCGTGAACCGGAAGCTGAATAAGTGAAGACACTAGCAGTGAGCCACCCCAAATCAAAGGCGACCTCATACTCAAGAACTAAAAAATGAGTCATGGCTTAATTTAGCCTTTTTTTGTTTTGCGCTTTTGTTTGCAGAGTAGTGTTTTTGAAAAGGGCCAAGCTGTTTTACCTCTTTTCCAACTATCCAACCTCATGAATTTTGCAGGAAGCTTATAGCACTTCATCCTTTCAAAGACCAGGGACCTGACAAGGTGCTTGTCGTATCCTGAAAGAATTCGCCTATGAATTAGTGGAACCTGTCACCACAATTTTTAACGCATCCCTTGCTTCTGGAATTGTTCCTGCTTTTCGAAAAGATACAAACATGAGACTGTCAGCTCCTGGGCTTCGATGGATCTGATGAAGGTTAAGGCTAAAAGATGTAAAGCGCCATGGGTGTTTCTTTAAGGAGAACCTTCAGCTACCCCCTTTACTAATTGATGGTCAAGTACTCGAAAAAATCGCTAGACTTGAAGATAGGCGTAATGAACTATGTATGAGGACTTTTGATAAAATTACAAAAAACGGGCCCTTGTTAAAACGTCTAACCCCGAATAGGGCTATCGCTCATGACTATACTCTTGGAAGTTTTTCAAATGTAAAACTGAGCGTTTTAGGCGAAGTCTCTTCCCTACTACTATCCTTATGGAAAACGCAAGATCTTTTAAAAGTTAATGCATTTTTAATCTACGATTTGCACTTAGATTAGTAAAATTTTAGTTACTGTGATTGAACCATATT